AAGTAGCTCATGCCTGAGAAGCATAACAGGGAAACCTCAGATACCGTGGACCTTTCCTACTGCTAAGGTGAAATGCTATCTAACCACCTCTGAGTCTGCAGAAAACTGTACCAGCATGAATCTGCCTGTCCCCTTTTCTCTTCCCAGCTTTGCTTCCATCACTTCTATTTCCAGTCACTTCAACCAGTTGAGTTCCTCCTTGACAGTGGGTATCAAATCCAATAGATTTTCCATATCTTGAGATTGTTCTTGGATGGTTCCCAAACAAGAGGAAAGATGCTATTTTAATCCGGGTATAAGTAAAGGCCACTTAAAACTATGGGGTGGCCTGGGAATGAGGTGAAGGCAACGTTTGGAGGACATGGCAGAAACAAGATGTTTGAACCATGATCAGTACACATATGGAAAAGCCAATTAGCAGAATAACAAGAGTTGGAAGGGATCTTGGAGGTCTTCTAGTCCAATCTACTGCTCCAGCAGGAAACTCTATACTATTCCAGACAAGTGACTGTCCAATCTCTTCTTAAAAGCTTCCAATGTTGGAGCATTCGCAACTTCTGAAGGCAACAGATTCCACTGGTTAATTGTTCTCACTGTCAGAAAAATTCTCCTTAGTTCCAAGTTGCTTCTCTCCTTGATTAGTTTCCATTTATTGCTTCTTGTCCTGCCTTCTGGTGAGAATAGGAACCCCTCTTGTTTGTGGCAGCCCCTCAAATATTGGAACACTGCTGTCATATCACCTTTGGTCCTTCTTTTCATTAAACTAGACATACTCAATTCCTGCAACCAGGAATTAACTGAGGACAGGAGCATGTAAGGTGTAAGTATAAGCTCCATGTGAAAGAGAGCGCTGTACCAGTGGTAGGATACCTACTTGGTATGTAGAAAGCCTCAGGCTTGATTCTCCAACATTTCCTAGAGTGCAAAAGACACTTATACTTGAAGCTGTTAAGAGATACTGAGTTGCCAACCATGTTGACAGAGACCATAATTGAATCAATGTCCTAAAATCCATTTTGAAGGACTACCTTTGGTAGGTCAATGGAAGGTTTTCAAAATATGATCTCGGAGGCCTTCATCAAGAAGGTGGTTCACAAGCCAGAAAAATGGAATGTGTGGTCAAGGAAGTGTTAGGTAATGATGGTAGGAAAATGTTCTTGATGTTTAAAGCCATGCACCCAGCTAGTCTTCGATGGACAATTGGAGTCTACAGAGATATACACTGGGTGCTTTCAGGAATCAAAGTTGTGGTGGGCTGCACAAAATTCTTTCCCTCAGCACAAGCAATAATTATCAGTTGCCCGTTTTTGGAAATCTAAAAACCAGCTCTGTCAATACTGCTTCTTTGCTTTAGCAAAATATATTTGGTTAGTGAAAAGCAACAGACGGACTAACAAGTCAGCGATTCCAAGCTGGGCAGTCCATGGGAATGGGAGATAGCTTTCTAGATTCAGGTAGTCCTGACCTTACTGTCATGGATTTAGTGATCTTGCAAAGTTACAACTGGCACCAAAATGTGACTTATGACTGTTTTTCACTCTTACAACCATTGAAGCATCCCTGTGGCCACATGATCAAAATCCGGATGCTTGGCAACTGGCATGCATGTACGACAGTTGCAGTGTCCTGGTGGGGTCACGGATCCCCTTTTGTGACCTTCTGACAAGTCAATGGAGAAACCAGATTTACTTAACAACTGTGTTACTAACTTAACAACTGCAGTGACTCACTTCGTAACCAAGGCAAGACAGGCTGGGGCAAATGGGGCAAAAATCATTTAACACCTGTATTGCTTAGCCATGGAAATTTTAGGCTCAGTTGAGGTCTTAAGGACTTCCTGTTCCAAAACAATTAGGTTTCTCAAAGCTACGACTGTAATAGTGAAGGGATCTCAGCTCCAAACATCTTGAGACTTGGAGTTTAATCAGTTGCTGGGGAAAATATTGTGATACCTATAGCATCAGCCTCCAATGGGATGAGAGATTTTGCTCTTTGCCAAAGAGGCAGAAAGCCTATCAATGGATGTAAAAGCTAAAGATTCCAGAACAGGAAACAATGAAAAAGAAATCAACGTTCAATTGACTGTTTCATGTCTCTAGGTAGTTCTTCAATCGCGCTTGCTTTTCTCCAAAGTTGAGTGGCTAGAGGGCTGTTGCCATCACAGAAGGATGCGGTTGATTCATTGTGCTTCATTATAAGGCAGTTGTAGATTTTGTGCACTTTGGAGGATTCAAAGGAACTTGCTCAGTTCACGGAACAACAAGTCGAATCTATTGAGCTGGATGGTTGCTCAATTTTGTGTGAAAAATGTGCTGGAGCCACACACGATTCTTCTCTGTAGCTCCAAGGCTGGGAAATGTTATTTTCCAATGAAATTCCCTGAACTAAATTAATTTGCTACTTGGGAGATTTAAAGTAAAGCTTGCAAGAACTGATCAATCACAGCAAACCAAAACACCTTGGATAAGCTTAATTCCTTGGCAAGCCTGCCATAGCCCAGTCCTAAACAGATCTACAGGGACTGTCTTCGTGCAACACAACTAGCCTTCAGCCATGATTTATAAATCGCAATGGCTGGATTAATAACATGCTAGGGCAAAACCAAACCATGCACAAAGTGTGTACCAGACTAATAAGAAACCCCTATTGGGAAATACTGATGAATATGTTTCTTTCACTGGAGGGGATGCAGGCTGCATGCATATTAAAGCTTGCGTGCAATTCCGATTAACATAGAACATAGAATTATAGGGCTAGAGAAGACCTCAGAGGTCTTCATTTAAAAGGTACCTTCAGAAAAGGGCTATAAATACTCAACCCTAACCGTATATTCCTGAGTATAAATTTTGTTGAATTATGGAGGATTCTCCCCCCCCCCCCAAATCCTGGTGGATATTAATCTTGATGAATTCTGTCACCTCATTTCAAAATGAGTATCCTTCTCAATAGTCATGCTCAAGTTGTAGAATTTTGTTACGGTTATATCATTTCTGTTTTTATTTAAAATTTCACTATTATACTATCTTCTATCTATCTATCATCTATCTATCTACCTACCTATCTACCTACCTATCTACCTACCCACCTTAGTATTTATCTATCTATCCACCATTCACCCATGTCTATCATCTCATCAATTTCTATCTCATCAATTTCTGTCTCATCAATATCTATCTCCTTAATAGCTATCTCATCAATATCTATCTCAATATCTATCAGTATCTATTATCTATCACTAGAGTCATGGATACATCTTACAGGATCAAGCAACTTAAGAATGCAGGAATTATTACCACCGAGCACAGACCCAAATTACAAATCTCCACTGAATAAGCCTCTCCTAGCTTCATCAGAGTCCCGTTCTGCCCTTGCTGCTAGCCCAGCATTTGGCTAAAATCTCAGTGGGACAAAATCAAAATCAAAGCAAGGTCTTGCACCTTCATTTTGCCTGAAGGACAAAACGCAGTTCTGAATCATCTGAAGCCCCTTAAGCTGCTCGTGCCTTTCATTTGAACTTCAGAGGAGGCATGAAGCTCTAATGACTTTAATGAAACATCTGAAAAGTCCTGGCTGCTGGCATTAATCATTGCTCACACTTTCATTTGTGTCATAAAGACACCAATATTTTAAGAGCTGGTCATCACCTGGATTTCAAAAAGGTTTCTATGCTTTTAAAGGACTACATCAGTAGGAAGAAGCGTGGTAAAAAATGGCATCTGCCTTTTTGGACGCCCTGTGGTGTTTTGGGTTAGCTACGCCAAGCTGCTTGTATATCCTGGTGTTGTTGTTGTTGTTTCTTTGACCAATGTTGATTTGGAGGATAAACTTAAAATTTTTTAATTTGTTGGAAATGAAAATGGAAAAAGTTTAGCAAATTCAAAATCAAAGACTCCTGTTCTGAAAAAAAAAAAAGCTTGTTTCCTAACTTCTTTTCAGTTCTCTCTAGGCACATCTATCCTCCAGATGTTATGGACGTCAAAAACCATGCTAAGTGGTCCAAGGCCACTGTATCAGGTTTAAAAAGCCAATTTATCATTTACTATTTTTTTTTTGCACTGTGCCACCAGAATGTTTTCCAGACTGCCTATTTATTCCAGCTAAAGCATATAGATCAGGAGTCCCGAATACCTGGCTGTGAACCAGTACCAGTCTGTGGCCTGTTAGGAACTAGGAGGTGAGCAGGGGTGAGTGAGCAAAGCTTCACCTGTATTTGAGTCGCTCCCCAGCACACCTCAGCCCATCAGGCATTAAGTTTCTCATAAGACCTCAAACCCTATTGTAAACTGCACATGCGAGGGATCTAACCGGGCCACGGCATGCCAGCAACCGGTTTGCACAAAGCCTCATCCGCGAGATACAAGCAGCACGACAAAACCACGCCCTTTCCAGTCTGCGGAAAAACCTCTCCATGTAACCGGTCCCTGGTGGCCAAAAGGTTGATCTAGGCTGTGTGCTCCTCCTGCCCCCCCCCCCAGGTCCATGGAAAAATTGTCTTCCACAAAACTGATCCCTGAGACCAAAATGGTTGGGGACCACTGATATAGGTCAATAAGAAACATCCAACCGCAGACCCTGAAGCTTCACATCTTAAATGGACAAGCGTCACCTACCTTACGGATGCTACCAGCAGAAAGCACTCAGGTATAACACAAGGCAAACTACAGATTAGGAATATACCCAGAAATGGATCTAGGACAAAAGTAGCTTGCACTGACATGGACAGAACCAAAGCTGAAAATTCCTACAGCCGTATTACTTGGGGCACCCTTCCAGAGCACGTGATTTAGCATTAAGTACTGCTGTAATTAAAGGCAATCACAAATCTGCCAATTTGCTTCAGTGTTTCGGATAGACAGAATTTAGATGATTTCAAGTTTACAATTTAATTTCCTAAATAAATTTGACCTTGTTGGGCATCTTATTTTTTTTTTTAGCGGCCTATCAGGCAGAAAGGAAAGAACGAGGATTAATAATTCAACACACACATAAAACACAACAGGTGATGGATTGGCTTGGTTTTATTCTGGGAAGACTGCAATTACAGAGAGCGGTGATGGCAGCCAAACTAAACAGTGGGGCTACTTTAGCTTTAAAATTAGGAATGCAGAGATTAATGGAATGGGGGTGGGCGGGTGGATGAATGAAACCTTACAGCTACTTAGGCTAATTACAGCATTTGGTGATATGAAGTCCCAGGGCTGGAGTGGTGGAACAGCAGTTTCAGTCCTCACATTTCCTCCCCAAAAGGAGAGCAAGAACTGTGAGTTAAGAAACAAGGGTGTCTATGCAACAACTCTGCTAAAAAAAAAAAAAAAAGGAAAGATGAAATGAGGATGATTATACAAGCCTTTGTTTCGTATTTCAGAAACCCCCAACCTGGTTATCTTTCCGACATGGGGATTTTGCTCACGGAGGGGCATCTGGATTGAGGAAGCTTGCCTAATGACTTTGATATGCCTAGAACAGGGACAGGCAACCTTGGCTCTTTTATGACTCGAGGACTTCAACCCCCCCCCCCAGTCATAAAAGAGCCAAGGTTGCCTGTCCCTAGCTTAGAATCTGCCCTCTTCCTAGGAGAGTAGAACGTTACAAAGGGCTTACAAAGGGCGAGACAGCCAAATTTCTCACTGTTCTGCTTTTCCTGTCTTCAGAAGTGTTGAGGACCTCTGAAGAGACCTATAGAATTCTTAGACACTCCTGCGGAGTAGCTATAACAAGAACGTGACTTGTCACCGACAGAGATGGTTGAATTTTGAAGGGTACCCATTTCAAAGCGCAGGCAGATATTTTTACTGTATTTTACAGTATTTTTTTACTGTACTTTAGAAAATTCGGGTGAAAGGATTCATGTTTTCCTTTAGCTGTTATGTTTAGATATTGCTTTACATGGCACAGGTATGCCCCATCTCAAGGACCATTCATTGTAGCTGTACTATTCAGAATTCTACCAACCCCATTGTTCATAATACGTGCTCTTTAACCCGAATTTAATGGAATTGTTCTTTAAGACAGCTTGCAGGGGTGGTGGTGAAATCATAAAGGGAAGGGGGCATTTCTTTCTGGCGTCAAAAACATGTATGAGCTCTCATTAACCCTGGCCATGCACCTGACCTTCTGTTCCTAACCTTCTACACCATGCCACTTTTTAAAAAAATATTTGAACTTTTCAAATTCCTAGCTATGAACGAACAAAGAATTCAACAGATCAAACTTGCAAGCAACTGCAGCTGATAAGGATGCTAACAACAAATATGTAAACCATTTAGGAGTTGAGCTCCCCCCCTTTCCACCCCCCCCCAAAGTGTTAAGTGGCAGATTTCTGAGCTGTTTAAGTACAAAAATTCTAAGAAGCAGTCCCCAGAGCAGAAATAATGTGCGCAAGGTATTTCTTGAGCATGACTTAAAATCAAGTCACTATCAAAACATCAGTTCGGACGGGGGGAGAGAAAGAAAATGTATTGGATCCTTAATGGAAAGTAGGGAAGAAAAAAAACCTCACTAGCATGAATGAATGGCTACCTGAAATGGCTGCTTCTCAAGAGAGCAGTAACAGGAAATCAAGCAGGGAAATAATTGCAAAAGTTACAAGGACTGCAAAGGTATCATTAAAAAAACCCCACACTAACTGAGATTGCCCATGCAGCCCAAGTGAAGTATAAAATGCAACTTGAATCAGAAGTACAAGTTTTGAAAGTGTCCAGCTGGGTCTTTGATTGTTTGCTTGCTTGATCTTCTGCTCGGGGAGGAAGGTGTTAAACATTTTCTAAAGCTGGACAATCACGATGGTTTCCACGAGAAACTTCTGCCTTTTGTCCAGATTTAATAAGAGCCCAGGTCTCAAGTGGTTCTTCGAGTTCCCAGTTGGGGCATGCCTCCAGCTCCTTTGGCACATGCAATCACATATTCCAGTCTGGTTAGGAGCCACAGTCTAATGCTGCTTTGAAGCTGGCACCACTTCTGAATACCTTTAAGTATTTATCAGCTCAATAGGTCAAAGGTCTGCAGACACTGGGTGGAGCAGCAATATGCCACAAAACTGACTCTTGTTCTCCTGGGAACACAAAGAAATATAGGAATAGAAAGGAGAGCAAGAGGCAACGGTTGTCGTCTCAAGTTAAAATGCTGGCCCTAAGACACAAGATACAACTTTTATGGACGGTTAAAAAAGCAAAGGAATCAGGAGCGAGGGTTGAGCCTCAGAAAACTAAGTACATATAATATTTGAGTTTGCAAAAATAGCGAGAGGTTTTCTTCCTCTGTCAACATCCCAAAAGGTTCCGCTAATTATTAGTGCAGATTTGAACCTAGGAAGAAAACGTCTGGAAGATTTCTTAATTTCTTAAAGGAAGAACATTTAAAACAATGTACAATGCTCCCTCAAATCTTCCATTATTTGCTACCAAATAATCTACGTTCTATGTTGTGACTTCTTCCACGTAGTGGTGATGGAAAAGACAACATGAATTTTTATGATGCAAAGATATTTGCTTAAATAGGGAAAAAAAAGAGAAAGATTTTGAACTGCTTTAACAAGCAATTTAAAAATGTATCACATCAGTAAAAGCAACTAAGAAAACATAAAACTGGAATGATCAAATTAAAAATAATCAGCAATTTAAATAGTCATCTATTGTGCATACTGAAAGGCCAACAATCACAGTGCACAAGACAGAATCATAAGAATACAACTGAAAAGAAAGTTATATAACTAGTTGGATAACAAATTATTTTACATTCCTGGGCAAATAATTGTTTGCACCAAAAGGTAAACATCTAAAGGGGCATTCCTTTTACCTTAGTACCTCTTTGCCTGACTCATAAACTCAAGTTCTGCTTTAATTAAAATCTCACTGCGTCTGAAATTATTGGAAAATATTGTATAGTGCAGATAGGGAACCAATGGGCTCTGGGTGCTTTGGGATTCAAAATGTTAGCCCTTCAAGGAGCGTAATCAGGATAAGTTTTATCATCCAATACTATGTATAGAAATATGATTTCACATTCTCAGCTAAAGTAATACATAATAATAAGGTACGTTCCCTATAGTTTATTCAGATCTAGGGGAGGAAGTTGAATATAGTCTTTGGTGATTGTACAGGAATTTACAAGGCAAATATCAAGCATATAAGAAGAAAGTTGGGGGGGGGGGTTGTAGTAGAAACCAAGTCTGATCACTGAAAAAGAACAGGGACTACAGCTTTCCATTTCCAAAAATATCAACCTTCTTTGAGAAGGCAATCTAGGTTTTTTTGCACTTAGGGATTTGAGAGAAAAAAAAGTGAATGCAGTGTATTCAACGCTCTAGGCTGTCTGGAGAATTCTGGGAATTCAAGTCCACAGGTCTTAAAAGATGATCAAAGGCCTGGAGGCTAAAACATACGAAGAAGGGCTGCGGGACTTGGGTTTGGCTAGTCTAAAGAAAAGAAGAAATAGGGGAGACATGAGAGCAGTCTTCCAGAATCTGAGGGGCTGTCCCAAGGCAGAGGGGGCCAGGCTGTTAACGATGAGAAACAATGGTTGGAAACTGATCAAAGAGAGAAGCAACCTGGAATTAAGGAGAAACTTCCTGACAGTGAGGACAATTAACCAGTGGAACTGCTTACCCCCAGAAATCGTGGGCGCTCCATCACTGGAGATTTTTAAGAAGAGACTGGACATTCACCGGTCTGAGATGGTATATAGGTTCTCCTGCTTGAGCAGGGGGCTGGACTAGAAGATGTCCAAGGTCTATTCTATTCTATTCTATTCTATTCTATTCTATTCTATTCTATTCTATTCTATTCTATTCTATTCTCTTCTCTAATTTCTATTCTCTAATTTCTATTCTATTCTATTCTATTTCATTCTATTCTATTCTCTAATTTCTATTCTATTCTATTCTATTTCATTCTATTCTATTCTCTAATTTCTATTCTATTCTATTCTATTCTATTCTATCTATCCTATTCTAATCTCTATTCTATTTTCTATTCTATTCTATTCTTGCCAAATTTTGAGACCCCCGCTCTAGAAATCTTGATGCCAAGTTTTGCATGCTTCCTTCCTACTTCACTTTCTGATTCTCTCCCTATTCTATAGGAAGAAAGAATCTCCCTCATAGCTCATCTTCCGCTACTTAAGTTTCCCAGGTGAGAAAAAAAAACACGTACAATTGAATATTCAATGTGAAATGCTGCAATTTGGAATAGAAGCAGCATCTTGTGGAAAATCCACCTCGTAACTGAGTCTTAATAATGCACTTCTCCATTTGTAGGGTAGATAGTCATCAGACTCACAAAAGCTCAAGCTTTTGCTTTTGCAAATGCCTTCTCTTCTAGCTGAAGCCCATGCATACCGTCTGAAACCAGTATGTAATTTTCTCTGTAATTACCCCTGATGTAATCCAGCCATTGGTGTCTCTCTTAAGGGAAAGAGCTTTGGATAGACAATAGTAAACATGGGCTGACTGCAACGGTGGCAGTGTCCCAGAGGGCAGTGCAGCAAATCCAGGAGGCTTCTGGGTAATGAGATCGGAGTCATGAACTTCAAATCTAGAGAGGAACGGGGAAAAAAAGATGGCATCAGACGATTCTAAAAAGCTTCAGAGAAGACAGAAACAGCTACAGCTGGATGACCAGTTTGGAAGCGTGCCTGCTTGATTTCATTTGAATTCAGATATAATTAAAATTAAACACCGTTAATAAGATTACTCTCCACTCGTGCACTTAATAGTTTTCCCTCCCATCATATTCATGTTTTGGAGGTCTTTGGAGGGTTGTTCCCTTAGGTTTTCAAGTGATAAATGTACACACACCTCTATCTCAGATTCTCAGAAGGATGCAGAAAATGAATTGCTGACACACAGTATATAGACAGTCCTTGACTTACAACCATTTGATGACTCTGAAAAAAGTGACCGATGGCTAGTCCCCACATTTACGACCACTGCAGCATCCCCATGATCTCATGATCAAAACTTGGGTACTTGACAACCGGCGTGTATTTACAATGCTTGCGGTGTCCCGGGGTCACACGATCACCATTTGCGACTGTCTCGGCCGGCTTTTGACAAGCAAAGTCAATGGGATTCCCTTAGCGACTACATGATTTGCTTAACTACGGCAATTTGCTTAACAACCCGGGCCAAAAAGGTCACAAAATCGGGCTCGACTATTCAACGACCATTTTGCTGGGCAGTGGAAATTCTGGCCCCAACTGTGGTGTTAAGTCAAGGACTTACCTGTAAACACCACAGGGGGAAAAAATGGCAAATAGATGGCGGACATTTTTTGTTTGGCCACGTCTGGACGACCAGAGCTTCCTCCTCCTCCTCCCTCCCTCCCAGCTTTACAGACCGAAGATATTGGAGATGCTCAACTATCATCCATCTACCTTTTAGAGACTTGCAGTATGTGTTATATAAGGTCCTCATGGCCGTCTCCTGCAAGGGGAGCACGTGGTCCAGTTCCGTCCCTATCAGCTTCACCTCTGCCGGGAGGAAAACCGTCAACTGTCCCGATGAAAAGGACAGAAGCTGCAGCTCTGATTTCTGAAGAGGAGAACCACAGCTGGAGAGAGGTTTGAGGAAAGGAGAAAAAATGGTGAGCAATGTAAACTTGGTGTGATCTGTGACCTGTGATATATAGAATCAAGATCACGTGAAGTATTAACAACGCTTTACAAGGCCTTGGTAAGGCCACACTTGGAATACTGCATCCAGTTTTGGTCCCCACGATGTAAAAAAGATGTTGAGACTCTAGAAAGAGTACAGAGAAGAGCAACAAAGATGATCAGGGGACTGGAAGCTAAAACATATAAGGAACGGTTGCTGGAATTGGGTATGTCTAGTTTAACGAAGAGAAGGATGTGGGGAGACATGATAGCAGTGTTCCAATATCTCAGGGGCTGCCCCAAAGAAGAGGGAGTCAAGCTATTCTCCAAGGAGCCTGAAGGCAGGACAAGAAGCAACGGGTGGAAACTAAGCAAGGAGAGAAGGAACCTAGAACTAAGGAGAAACTTCCTGACAGTTAGAACAATTAACCAGTGGAAAAACCTGCCTCCAGAAGCGGTGAATGCTCCAACACTGGAAGTTTTTAAGAAGAGACTGGACAGCCATTTGTCTGAAATGGGATAGGGTTTCCTGCCTGAGCAGGGGGTTGGACTCGATGACATCCAAGGTCCCTTCCAACATTATTATTGTTGTTGTTGTTATTATTATTATTATTCTGCGGAAGAGTAGCTGACGAGGGCACCACTGACCTAAAAGAACACTCAAGACATGCCCTTGCAATCAACATTAGACGTGCAAAATCGAATTTGGGTCGGTTCCCGGGACCAGAGATTTCCGAGCTCTTGAAGTCATGCTGGAGCCCATCTTCAGGGAATTTCTCTATACTGGAATACGTGCTTTGGGCTGTTCTGCGAGTCGTGTTTATGTGGTGCCTTCCTACTGGCTGATTGATGGGTGGATGGTTGGCGACTGGCTGATGTTTCCTTGGGCTGCCAAGCCCTCGGCTCCTAAGTATTTAAAAGGCTGGTGGTAATCCAGCACTCCTGTTGACTGACAAGGGATCTCTTTCCCAGGCTTCCAGTAGAGAAATTCCCCGAAGACTGGCTCCAGCACGAGTCCAAAAGCTCAAAGAACAAATCTCTGGTTCTGGAATCGACCCAAGTTTGATTTTGCATCGTTATCCTTGGATACGTGTATTTGCCTTCATTCGTACAACTAGACATCATCTCAGATCATTTCAATGAGAACCAGGCAGAGAAGAAAAAGGCAAATCTGCATTAAATACATTTCTTGTGAATAACTTGCCGGCCTTGTTAAAAAGAGAGATGGGGGGGGGGGGCTCATCCAAGCTATAATCTAGTGTTTGACATGATCAGAATGAACAGAAAATATTCTAAATCAATATTCTAAATCAAAATCAAATCAGTTCCCAAATATGGATCAATTCGATATGCAAACTGGCAACAATCTGCAAATGTCACCTAGTTACAGGAGATGCCCAACATCATGCTTCAAGAATGAAAATTAATTTGCTGATAAGAAGCTTGCTAAGTGTGACATCCCCAACTTGACTTCCATCAATTTTAATCAGGCCCACAGATGTCAAGCAATTACACATCCAAAAGACAAGCAGAAGCTTGCTCTAAGGCCTGATAGAAGTAAATATGGCAACCGTACACAAGGGCGTTGATTCCAAAGTGTTTTAATCAACACAAAGGGATAATATCCCGACAGAAAATAACCAGTAAGGAGAATATTTATAGCTCCTTGGTGTTCTCTGAGCTTAGTTGTTTTCTTGCAGATGTTTCATTACCCAAGCTAAGTAACATCGTCAGTGTTAATACTGACGATGTTACCTTTTTGGGGTCATGAAACATCTGGAAGAAAACAACCAAGCTCAGAGAGCACCAGGCAACTCTCCCCCCCCCCCCAAAAAAAGTAGATTTTTCAAAATCTGGTTACATTTAAGAATTTAAATGACAGACATGAAGAGCAAAAGAGCTGGTCCTGTAATTTGGTTTTACACTGGATCTAGCAAGTAAATTTTCAGATCATTAAACATACACAATGACTTACTTACATACTTGACATTCTAAGCTGCAGATTTCCATGAGCCCCAGGTGGCTAAAATATATTGCATCACTTTGATCAGCATCTAATGCCAGTGCCATACCTGCAGGCTGCCACATCTTTCAAAGCCCTTGAGAGGCAACCTGTGTTTCTGGAAATCCAGTAAGATAGGAGAAGAGCGGATAGCTTGTTATAAGTTGTTCCACAGGGGTCTTATTCCCGTGGTCTCAGTGGGTGGCATTCGCTCAAGGAGGAGACCCTGATGCAATTCAATTGCTTTCTCAAAAAGACTTAAAAGCGACACTGAATTTGACACGGTATATTTTTTCTTTTTATAAAAATTTTTATTAATTTTTTTTCATCAACATATGTTAATTTTTCCAATCAACAAGTTGTCTGGAGTTTGCTATGCTAATACATGTTCCATTCCTAATCCTTCATTCTCTTCTCTAACCAAGAATAAAATAAATTCCAAATTTGATAGTAGTCTGTATCTTCTTTATCTTTCAACCTCATAGTTAATCTGTCCATCTCTGCACATTCCAATATTTTCCTGATTATTTCTTCCTCTGATGGCAATCCTTCTTTCTTCCAGTATTGTGCAAAAATTATTCTCGCTGCTGTAGTGATGTGTAAACTTAAATATAGTTTCTGCTTATTAGTCTTTTCAGGCATAATGCCTAGTAAAAAAAATTCAGGTTTAAAATTTATTTTTTCTTAAGCCCTTAGGATACTGCAGTTTGTAACAAGTAACGAAGTACTTGTTTAGCTTATGTTTCTCAATCTTCAAGGTCTGCTTTGAGAAACAAGGGCACGTGTTTTATTTGCATGAACCACCAAAACAAAGTGTTGACGCTTGTTTAAATGGGGCTGTTTTCACTGGAATGTAATCCTTTTCCATTCAACAGTTCCAAGAACATGGAATCTTTCAGCTGGCAGAGGCTAGGACCCGTATTTGTCTTTCACGCATCCACTCCCAGCGTGTTTGTCCCAACAGGGCTAAGGATTTGACTTGTGTGGCTGCTATTTATGAATATTCAACTCCTGCAGATAACAATCTCCCTTTGTCCAATGTAAGAAGAGTGAGCAGGACTCACTGATCTATTTACAGAATCACCTGACAGAAGGCAATTCAGACCTAAGGGGATTATGCCAGCAGTTGCCATTTCATCTCACGCGCACACTTTCAAGTTTTGCCAACAGCGCCTAAAGCACACAGAAGGATGCTTTTCAAATTATGAATCAATCCCAATTAAACAGAGGCATGTTATTCTGTTTGCTAAGGGAATACGTTTTGCTTCAAAATTGCCATCTTAATAGGAAAAGCAAGCAAGTGGTTATCTAATACCACTTTTTGGAGGCAGAAAGAAAACAGGAATACTTTAAACACCCTCCAGATGTGCTAAACTGCATTCCCCATTGCGGAATGCTACAGGGAATGTTGGGAAGTGTACTCTAAAAGATCCAGAAAGTGTGAAGTTTTTGGGGCTGGGCTTGGTTACTTGCCACTAGAGTCATCTTCAATGCTCAAATGCAAATGAGCAACAATCCAGTGGTCATGCCCACCCAGTAGGCCACACCCACTCCACCCACGCCCACAAAGTAGGTCGCACCCACCCTGGCCACACCCACTCGCCCCGCGAGGGCAACCGCAATGCTGATGCGGCCCTCAATGAAATTGAGTTTGACACCCCTGCTTTAAAGCATAGGACCGTCATTCGACAGATTAAATAATCTAAGATAAAACTGATAAATAAGACTTAGAAGATAAAAGGATCCACGGCAATTTATATTTGTGGGCTTAACTTAAATCAGAGGACCTACCCATTACAGCCAATGACTTTGTTGTAAAGGTAAGAAGGGAGACCTTTAAGGTGAGCGTTGTTATCCACATAAACATATTGCAGTTCCCGGGAACGACCTAAATCTGGATTTAAGAAACATAAAACAGAAAATAAGTAATCACCTTCCTGACAGACATGTTCAAGCAAACACATACGTACATACAAACACCTTCCTGGCATGTCAGCGAACGCACTTACCATCTGAACAGTCTAGAAAAACCTTTTTATGAAATAAATGGAAACCATATAATAACAAGACAGATTCTGCAATGAAAATTATCCCCTAATTTCCACGTTTCTGTCAGGGAATATATGCAAATGCATTCTTTCACAAGAAATAACAGAAGTCTCATTAAATGGCTGGGAAAAGAACAATGCAGAGTTCCAATTTTCTTATGTGATTTTTTTCTTCTTCAAGAAAGCTGCCAAATCTAAGTAGGACTATCTCATTCCAAGAAAAACATTGACATGACTAAGAATAAGAGAACACTGCTCCGTATTTCTCTTTTGTGTTGGTTCATGCATGAACCTGTGAATGAAATGAAACAATCTGATTTACAACATTTTTTTTCTTAGCTCCAGGAGATGTAGTTTGCTTCCTGGAGACCAGCCAAAAAGTACAGATACTCCAGACTTACGACCACAATTGAATCTAAAATTTCCATTGCTAAACGAGACAGTCATTTAAGAGAATTTTGCCCCATTTTATAAGCTTTCTTGCCACAGTTGTTAAGTGAATCACGGCAGCTGTTAAGTTAATAACACGGTTGTTAAGTGAATCAGATGGGAAATAAAAAGCCTTGGAAGTGCATCATAACTTAATTTGCAAAGTGGTGATGAACCTCCCTAATTGAAGCTGCATTTTATTTCCTTGTAGCTAGTACTTTTATAGTTAGTATAAATTTAATTTTGCTATTAAAACTTTCAGGTTTTACAAGGTTTTTAAAAAACGTTCCCTAAGCTGTGAAAATGCAGCCAAGACCCATTAAAAATAAGCAACAAATAGCTGTTTTTTCCCCCTCTGTGAGAAATCTCTATCGATGCAAGTTTCAGCAGCTGAGAACCAGGGTACACATACCGTATATCTGTACTATCAGCATATTTGTTATATCTTTGCTTGTTCCTTTCTCATGAAAATGTCTCCATGATCTAAAAGCTGAGCCAAGAGAAGCCAAGCCAAACCACAAAAAGATTATATCTAAATGTTAAGAAATCTTAAATCTTAGCAGCGCTCTTGTGGCTCTTATTAAAGTTTTAAACTTCTGCAACACAGACGACAAAGGATCTGGAAGCTAAATTGTTATGATGCATCGCTGAGGGACTTAGATATGTGTAGCCCATCAAACAGAACAATTAGGGGGGACATGATAACTGTCTTCCAATATTGAGGGGCTGTCACAGAGAAGAGAGGATTGACTTATTCTCCAAAGCACCTGAGGGCAGGACAAGAAGTAATGGGTGGAAGCTTATATAAGAGAGACCCTACCTAGAAATAAGGAGACATTTTCTGATAGTGAGAATAGTTAATCAATGGCATAGCTTGCCTCTTGGAGTTTGGGGCTGCCCTATCACTACAGGTTTTCAAGAAGAAACTGGACAACCATTTATCTGGGGTGGTATACTGCCTTGAACAGGGGGTTGGACTGGAAGACCTCTGAGGTTCCTCCAGTCCTATGATTGTATGATCATGCAAAAAGCAAACACACACAAAAATACTTTTCCTAAACATGTTCTTTTCAGACTTCGTAGAAAAGGAAGATAGCATCTGAAGTCACAAAGAGAAGTTTGCATGTAGCTTTAAAAAAAACACACAAAAAAACAGTAGTTTGTCTGCAACTTTTCCATTTTCCTCCTCCTCCCAGTATGGGAGATCAAAGACTTTTCACATGAACAAACTGCAGGAGTCCTAAACAAACCCCAATTCAACTATACTTTTTTTTTTAAAAAAAATTGTCCTCAAGGCATCTGCGTTCCACATGGCTGAACATGGAACAAAAGGTCTTATATATCCACCCTGGTATTTTTTAACCCCGATGTGAAAGCAGAAAAGCTATGTATTTTGAGATAATACAGTAAGCGGTATTATTAATTTGATGTGTGCATGGTTTTTTTTTTTAAAGAGCAGAATTAATACACTCATCCTGAAACATATGGGCTGGCAGAGCAATATCCTAAAGTAGGGTGGGCGACTCAAAAGCTGCAGGTGGTCCTTAGCACGTTTGCGGTCGCATCGCTTTCCAAGAACACGCTGCTAAAATATGGCAGCACACTGGCCAGATTCTTGGTGCTGTGATTTCAGTTTTTGTTTTGCTTTGCTTTTCCTCCAAAATGAGGGTGAAAGCGAGAGAGGCCTACTGAAGGAAAAACACTCGGATTCCCATCCTAAAGTTACCTTTTGGATGGATGGAAATCAGGCTGCCAAATTCTGTGATTGTCACTGAATTTCAACACTGGGATCCCCATCTTAAACTTAACCTTCTGGATTGATGGAAACTATGCTGCCGAATTCTGTTATTCACTGAATTTCCGCAGAATTTCTTGAGCTGTCTGGAGTATGTGTGTGTGTGTGTATATGTATGTTAAGAGGTGAAAAGAGGAACACTTCCTCTATTTCCTCTTCCATACCACCTTTAACTTCTGGGAAACCACCCAAACTCAACTTTATTTAACAGAATAACAGGGTTGGAATGAAAATGGAGGTTTCTAGTCCAGAGGTCCCCAACCTTTGAGGAACCAGGGACCGGTTCCGTGAAGAGAGATTTTCCACAGACTGGAGGGGGCCTGGATTCATGTACTGCCTGCATCCTGCGGATGGGGCTTTGCTTGTTGGCGCGGAACGGTTGCTGGCATTCTGCAGACCGGTGTTGGTCCACGGACCAGGGGTTGGGGACCCCTTGTTCTAGGCCAACATTCCAGTGATGAAGCACCCACACCTTCTGGAGGCAAGCTGTTCCACTGATCAATTGTTAATTATCAAATTTAGACTGGATTCATGCAACATGCTAAACCCTGGTTTGTTAAACCATGCTGTCTTGAATAAAGTACCAGTTGGATTCTTACAACCTGCTATGCCCTCCAACGTATCGACAATATTGATTGGGTTTATTTGCACAAGGTGAGAAGCTAAAAACTGATGCTGCCCATCATTGGTGGAAGGTTGTAGGAGGCACACTGGAAGGTTGAAAACCACATCTAAAAAGTGGAATTCTCAGCGAAGTTGACAAACTGTGAAACCTGGGTTAAGCTAACAGTTCATTAAAAATCAGCTAATAAATCATAGTGCAGGTTTTTTTTTTTCCTGTTTGGCTTAGCCTGATCTGGGAATCCAGCCATCCTGATTTATAGTGCGTGGATTGCAACTCTGTACATTAGCCCATCTGATTGTTGCTTTCATCAGTGTGCTGCGGCTGCCAAAAAAGCCAACACAGTGCTAGGCTGCATTAACAGAGGGAGAGAATCAAGATCACGTGAAGTGTTAATACCACTTTACAAGGCCTTGGTAAGGCCACACCTGGAATACTGCATCCAGTTTTGGTCACCATGATGTCAAAAAGATGTTGAGACTCTAGAAAGAGTGCAGAGAAGAGCAACAAAGATGATTAGGGGACTCGAGGCTAAAACATATGTAGAACGGTTACTGGAATTGGGTATGTCTAGTTTAACGAAGAGAAGGACGAGGGGGGACATGATAGCAGCATTCCAGTATCTCAGGGGCTGCCACAAAGAAGAGGGAGTCAAGCTGTTCTCCAAAGCGCCAGAAGGCAGGACAAGAAGCAACAGATGGAAACTAACCAAAGAGAGAAGCCACCTCAAAGTAAGGAGACATTTCCTGACAGTTAGAACAATTAATCAGTGGAACAACCTGCCTCCAGAAGCTGTGAATGCTCCAACACTGGAAGTGTTTAAGAAAAGACTGGAAAACCATTTGTCTGAAATGGTAGAAGATCTCCTACTTGACTAGTGGGTTGGACTAGAAGATCCCACAGGTTCCTTTCAACATTATTATTGTTGTTGTTGTTATTATTATAGCAAACATTGGTTAGTATAATGCAGGAACCCAAAATACGTAAAATTGGAAGACTTTGACTAGTTAGATATCAGATCGTTTTTTGATTTCTAATATAAAATTTATCTCATTGGCCCCTTTCGTAGCTAGACCCCTGCCCATATATTTTAGAGTTTAATTCTCAAATAGCCAAAACAGCACTCACCAAGAGGCAAGTAAGCAAGCTGATTTCCTGCCATGGACAACTCATTGAGACTGGGAAGCTGGCAAAGATGGCGAGGGACGTACCAGAGATGATTCTGGTCAGCAGTGAGGTACTGCAGAGAGTGGCACCTGTGCAGTTTTTCAGGCAAGGTTATCAAATGATTGGCTGAGACATCCAGCGTCTGCAGCTCTTTAAGGTCTCCGAGCTCTGCAAACACAACAAACAAAAAAAAAGACACATTACATTTCACACTTTATGAGAAACACCTTAAAGGAAAATCCAGAATAGCGAAGTTGGAGCCTGTCCAATCTCTAAATGGCTGTCCAATCTCTTCTTAAAAACCTCCAGTGATGGAGCACCCACAATTTCTGGAGGCAAGCTGTTCCACTGGTTAATTGTTCTCACTGCCAGGGGATTTCTCCTTGGTTCTAGATTGGCACTCTCCTTGATTAGTCTACACCCACTGCTTCTTGTCCTGCCTTTAGGTGCTTTGGAGAAGAGGCTGACTTGCCTCCCTTGTGATAGCCCCCCAATATTGGAATCCAAATTCAATTCAAGATCCAATTCCAAGTTTTAAAAAGAGCATTTATACATATATTACAGGTGTTGCAGCATCCACTGAATATGTCACCTAGCACCACAGAAGCATTTGCTGTGGCTAAGACACAAGTTGTGATTGACCTATGTCATTATTATTACTGTGGAAGTTCTGGATTTTTTGACCTGACCTGCATAAATCAGGAATCTGGTAGCACCTTTTCAAGCTACCAAATTTTATTAAAAAGCCTAAATGTGTCCGTGCATTTTAATAAAATGTGGCCCTTACCAGGCTCCTCCTGATTTTGGGATATAATAGTCTAATATGGCCCTCCTCCTACAAGATTCACACAAGTTTGTAAGACTTTTTATTCATGGATAGATTCTCTATGAAGCTATTGGGATTCTTCCGAGGTGCAAATGTGGTGTAGCACATCTAACGAAGATTCTTTTCCAACTTCCTTTGCAATAACAACTAGAAGATGCTATACTCACGGCCATGCCAATTGATTTTATGATCGCTGCCCCTATCAAATAAGTAAGCCATTCTCTTAATTTGAAGCCCCATTAGCCACAATGAGGAAAAAGACAGGCAGAGGGAAAAGCCACATATCCCTAAATAGGAAACACTGGAAAAACAATATGAAAAAAAAAATAAATAGTTTTGGGCGAGTTTTGCCATAGAAAATTGCAGCCACCACATCTTATTTGAAATAGGATGGTTTGCTTTGGCTGTGGTGTGGTGAAAGAGGAACTTCAGGACCCAAAAGTGCTAAAATGAAATCCCCCCCGGGGGGGGGAGGAGAACGAGGGACCATTTTCAAGCAGATGCATAATATTTCACGACAAGGAAACAATAAAAACAGCATCTTTTGTGTTACGATAATTAGAAGATAGGAACAGATCTGGGGCTATTCTGCAGATGCTGGAGGATGGAGAAAATGACAGGTCATTAGGAGGCTGGCGTGCAGCACAGGATAATTGAAAGGAACCAGGTGGGAAACACTGGAAAGATTTGCATAATAAGAAAAAGCAGGAGAAAGAAAAAAAAAAGGTTTATGTGGAAAGTTTTTAAACAAATTTAAACGAGTAGTTAAGGCAGCCTCCCGTTTCTATTTTTTCTATTCTTCTTAGAATTAACTTAAAATCTAATTCTAACTTAGGAGCAGGCTATGGGAAACAGATTTTAAATGAACGCAGGAACTCCACGACTTATGACAATTGAGCCCAACATTTCTGTTGCCCCGTTTTACGACTTTTCTTGCCACCGTTGTTAAGTAAATCACTGCAGTTGTTTGGTTAGTAACACGGTGGTTAAGTGAATCTGGCTTCCCCGTTGACTTTACTTGTCAGAAGGTCGCCAAAGGGGATCACGTGACCCCGGGCACACTGTGACCGTCATAAGTACGAGTCAGTTGCCAAGCGTCCGAATTTTGATCATGTGACAATGGGGAATGTTGCAATGGTCGTAATGAGAAAAACGGTCTTAAGTCAGGGCTGCTGTAACTTTGCCAAGCGTCTGAATTTTAATCACGGGACCCGGGGATGCTGCGACGGACGTAAGTGCGAAGAACAGTCATAAGTCACTCTTTTGTTGGGTGCTATGGTGACTAAAATCAGTCACTAAACGAATGGTTGTAAATCAAGGATTCCCTGTATGCATTTCTTCCCCCTCTCCAGTTGAAAGAAAGTTATGCAGAATGGGAAATATGCTTGTGGAGGAAGTTGAAGACATACACCGTGTGGGAGTTAGGCTATTCTGCTTTCGATTAAATCCAGAAGCAGCCAAGAAAGTCAGGCAACAGTGAACTTTTTTTTTTCATAAATTCTTTGCAAAATATAACATTCAGAATGATGGGGTGCTAGAAGGTTTTGTTCAATGAGCTACCCAAGTTTGGCTAATGGACTAGAACAGGGGTAGGCAACCTTGGCTCTTTTATGACTGGTGGACTTCAACTCCCAGAATTCCTGAGCCAGCATGGCTGAGCTTGGAAATCTCTTCCTTTCCCTCAGCATGGCTGGCTCAGGAATTCTGGGAGTTGAAGTTCACCAGTCATAAAAGAGCCAAGGTTGCCTACCCCTGGACTAGAAGATATGAGTTTAAGAAAAAATAAATCAGGGAAAACCCATGGAATGAGCCAAGAGGAGATAACTACTTTTGTCTTTCTACCAAAACAAGAAAAAGATTTAAAAAAACACACCTATGAAGATTCTCAATCATTTAGGTCATGGTTGTCCCAAGGGTGCTTTTTCCAAAAGGCAAGTGGACTTTCTTGATTTTTTTCTTTGAAAACATTTCGCTTCTCATCCAAGAAGCTCCTTCAGTTCTGACTGAACTAAAGAAGCTTCTTGGATGAGAAGCAAAACATTTTCAAAGGGGAAAAAAAAAACTCCAAGAAAGTCCGGTTGCCTTTTGGAAAAAAGCACCTTTAGGATAGAAAAAAGAGGAAGGAGGCTAGATCCCAAAGGGACAAGTTAAGTTCTGCTTGGAAGAAGACAAACAAAGACTGCAATCTCTCCCCCCACATACACACACTCAAAAAAACAAACAAACAAAAAAAATTAGAGGAGAAAATGGGAAAACAAGCATTGTTTCTGTTAGCTGGTAAAAGGTTTTAAGAAAGTTAGGTGAGCTGTTCAGTCTTCTGTGTCAAATCGGATCAGATCTTTATTACGGACATAGATCAGCCTTCTGAGACATCCCAAAGCCTGTCCAGCAGCAGAAGACCATGAAGAGCGCAGCCTACATATTACCCAAACCACAGACCAGCAAGTGAAAGGCCCAGCTATTTTCAGACACAAGAGCTCTGTTGCGAGAGTATTTTTAGCGACAGGAACCACCCAGTTCAAATTCTTCAAAGCTGCCAGTTGGCAAACTGGCGAAGGTCCAGAAGCAGTGCTGGCCAAGATATATCTCCCCCCCCCCCAAACTCTTAGGGAGAGACCGAAATATTTCTCATCTTTGTTGTCTAGCCAGAAGAGGGCTCATTCAAATATCTCAACTTCTTCTTATCCCTGGGATACCGAATGCTGGACATGTATATATCAAAGACAAACAGTGCAATCTGTCCTCAGATTACATCAGGGTGAGCAAGGCTGAATTGCCCCTTCAACCTACCTTTCCTCCAGGAGAAGTGGAATTTTTGTTACTGTCGTTGTTGCGAAGTTGTATCCCACCCATCGTGTTATGCAGTGCCAGTACACTGTTATACCGAGAACATATATAAACTCGCTATCAACCAGATTGACCTTAAGGGGGACGTGTGACATCCATGGATGAATTCTGGGCTCCCCTCTCAAAATACAGAGCTGATTGGACAATTCTAGATGCTGAGTTCCAGTACTTTTTGAGCAGTGGTTTTTAAACGAGGTGCAATTACCCCCAGGATAATTGTGTGTGCATGTGTGTTTGTGTTTTTGTAACTAATGACGTTATTTGAGACTACAGGGGGTCATTGGGTCAAATAGTTTATGAACTCCTGTTCTGGAAGATGTGAGATTTGGGGAAATGATATTTGTAGCTGCCCTGAGCAGGAGAAACATGGAATAATCTGTCTTGTGGCTAGAACACTGAAGTCAGACCTTAAGAGGGTTAGACTGATGAATAATAGCAAGTAAAAAAATAAATAAATGTGGTGCACCTTCTTAGGAAGCTTCCAGCAATAAAAAAGGCCAAATGTTTTCATTCTGCTTTTAAGATACTTCCATCATTTGTCTCAGAATGCCTTTTATCGAATGAGGATACAGGATCACCGGGAGCCAACATGTTTAATAACAAAATAGGCTTTCCCAGGGTTGAGATCAAAGAAAAAAGTTACCAGGGATTATCATTGGAGCTTATGTATAACATGCTTCAAAGTGAATGTTCCTTTTGTTATAAATACTAACTTTCACTATTGCCTTAGGAAATTATGATTAATCAGGAAGAAGGGATTACGATAATAAAACATGACAAAGTCTTTGCAGTTCTGGTAATTAAGTTGTCATTATTATTAACAAGTACTACTGGTGATTTACGGTACACTGCTATTCTAAACAGTTTTTTACTAGTCTAACCTCATTTTAAAAGAATCATCACCATCTTCAGTCATCCAGATTCCCTATGATCTTTAATACAACTGGTCGTAATTCACAAGAACCAATCCATTTAACTAACTGGGAAATTAGGGTAGGTTTACGAGCCAGACAATGCCATCATTCATTTATTATTGTTAAATTTATTTGCTGCCCCTCCAACTCTAAGTGGCTTCCTATGGGTGGTGTTTTATACTGTTAAGATTTAATGTATGCTACATTTTTGCAAGTCAAGTCTGCTGACTCTTAAATGTATTGCCAGGAATTGTCAAACCCCACTGTATTAAGAAAAATAAATAAATGTTAGGTTTGCTTGTATCCTACATCATTTGCTGTAGGGTGAAATGGAGCCGAAAGGCAAAATTGTTTTCCCATTATGGTTGACAACAATGGTGAGGAAGGAAGGAAGGAAGAAAATATTATTTGTTATGTAGCATTACCTCTGCTATAAGGTCTCCCTCTCTCTCCCTATAAAGCTGAATATCTGCACGAAGGTTTGTGGGTTATCAAGACGTTTAGCTGTGATATCAGCAGTGGGTTGATGATACCCAATGGACATCACCACCATCAGATTGGACCAGAGAGGGTACTTGACTTCTGGACTGGAGCCTTATATATGGATGGGTTGAAGCTGAGGTGGCTCCATTGTTGTTAACGTCCACTGTCCTCTCTTAACTATTCCAATTCAAATTTGTAAACATTCATATTTGCTTTCATATGTTAACTTTTTATTGTTTTACTGTACATCACTTTTTTGTGGCTGAACCTAGCTCCTCCAACAAGATATTCCAGTCCAGGCTTATCTGGATTCAGATTTCAGAGTCTATGCAAAGCACCTCTCAAATCTCTGTCTGGTTAACGCCCGATGTTTTATCCAAACTTCCAACAAACCCTGCTGTTGTCTCATGTTCCTTATTCACTGCATCAAAAAGTATTCAAAGCAATAACGTCTATGTTTGAGCACGACAGTAATTAAGTTTGTAAACAATTATGCTTGCTGGTAAATTACATTTTACAGCTAATCTTGCCATAAAAGCCAACAGCCCATTGATAAAGTTAATGCTTGAAAGGAAAATTGAAAACACACACATAGCTTTACACGTCAGCAAGAGATTAAAAAACTTTACAGCTTCTCTCGATTAGCATTTCCCAAGGGGTGTTGGCGCATGCGACCAACCAACGCAATTTTTCCGGAATTCCAATATTTTCGTAAAAGTAGATTAAAATCCTCTTGATATGAGAAAGTTCCCAATTTTACCCCCACTAGCATTTTCATCTACATGTTCCCTTTCTATTACTGTCTCTCTGACTTCTTGATATTACAAAATGGGTTCATCCATTTGGTACACGATGTATCTCTATTAACATACTACACTGTTATTATTGTATTTCAGATTATGAATATCTGAATATCTTCCAGACTGACATCGTAGATCAACTGTATACATAAATTGATAAAATATGCATGCTCCTAAGAATGATTCCAAGTAATTGTGATTAGACTGTGCTGCCTTTATTATACTCTTCTTTAATTCCAGCTAAACAACATTAATGAGTAGTGATTAAATTATACCCTCCCAAATTAATACCGTAAAATGTAGTATTCATGGCACAATATACCTGATTATCTGATGCATGGGAAATGAAGTAGAAGGTAACAAAGCTTTCAAGTAATTCTTCTAATATGCAATCTGCCTTCAGCAAACTTAATGTAGTTTAATAACTAAGCTTTTAATTTTAAGCCAGCAATAATGAATACAATTAGTGAAAGGAATACATTAAGAACAGTCAACTAATATTATTTGACATAATTCAAATATTATATAACAGGTAAAATTGTCTACATGAACCATAAGGCTTTGCGTGTCTTACCTGCTGGCAAATATTTTAGCTGATTATTAGCTAATCGAAGATGGCGTAGAGATCGCAAATGCCCAATCTCTGGGCATACAATTTCGAGAGCATTATCACTCAAGTCCAGAAACTGCAGTTTAACCAAAGAACCAATCGCTTTAAGAAAAAAAAAGGGCAATATATTTAACTTAGAATGAGACACTTGTTAATAGCTTATTCCTAAAACATAAGACATCTGGCTGTACAGATTGACACGTCTATTTCAGCAGTTATATGGAAAGAATGTCGAGGGAACAAAATTATATTCCCTCTAGGACACAGGTGTCAAACTCGTGATGTCATGTGACATGTCGCGACATATTGTGACTTTTTCCCCATTGCCGGCAATGGGGTGGGTGCAGTTTTAGCGTGATTGACACCCCTGCTCTAGAATATCGTATCACTGGACATTAGGAAGTTAAGTGAGCCCAGGCATGACGGTTGCTGGTATTCCCAGTTGCCATAGTACAGTATTTCTCTCCCTTACAACTTTTAAGATGTGTGGGATGGCTGGCTAGGGAATTCTGGGAGTTGACCCACACAGCCTTAATGTTGCTAAGGCTGAGAAACACTGTCATAGGATGTTGTCTGTGCTTGTCTTTGGTTATGGTTTCTATTGGTTGTATAGTTTTAAAGAAAATTAAATTGTGAGATGGGCAAGCATATAAACTGATTAAACAAATAATTTTTTTAAAAAAAATTATCAACTGTAGTCATTTAGGTTTTCATTAGTGTACAAAGAGGTTGAATTTATGTCCAGAATGTACGAATTCTCCAGGTATAATTCTCAGCAGTTTTCTGCAACTACTTAATCTATTTGCATTAATGGTCCTGCGCTCTGTAGAATCCCTAGACACCCGAAGCAGCAAAAGAGGAAGTAAAGAACTCTGTAGAAGCCATGTTCAAAAAATCAAAACTATTGCAACTCAGCCAAAACGTTTCTTTGATATTACTGGCATATTTTCTTCTCTAAATGGCGAATAAAAGAGTTTAATCTCCTAGGGTTTACATTTACAAAAGGCAATTGCATGGCATACGACTGTGGAATAAATAAATGAAAAAGAAAACGCTTTATAAATGATGAATAAGATTTTAAAAAATCATACATTGAGTTGAAGCTGAATAGTACTTAATGGCATTTTGGCTTCCCCAGCACTCTAACTATAAGCACAATCAATAGAGCAAAGCTATAGCTGAAAATCCAGACAGAAGGGCACTCACCTTCTGGAACAATAACAATATTATTTGAATGCAGGTATCTGGGGAAAGAACAGAATATGTTGTTATTTTCAGGAGTGGGCAAATAAACCCAGTTTTTTAATTTATTTTAAAAATTTAAATAGCTGTCTATCTCTCATATGACGATCCTAGGTGGCACGCAACAACAAAAATCCTCAGAGAATCTGGGATTTTAAAACCCCATGACTCCATCTTGGCTGTTTGAGCTGAAGTCTGCTGTCCCTCATCCCTAACAGTTTCCAGGCACTGGGAAAGAATCTTGAGAAGTTTCCTGAATTGACCTAGAGAGGATCTTTCCCACCAGGCACCAGACCAATGAACGATTATGTATATAAACTATATGATGAATGACTGCGGGAACTAAGTAAGTCTAACCTATTGAAGAGAAGGACTAGGAGTCACATGATAGCAGCCTTCCAGTATTTGAGAGGCTGTCACGGAGAAGAAGGGGTTGACTTATGCTCCAAAGCACCTGAGGGCAGGACAAGAAGCAACGGATGGAAGATTATCAGGGGGATCCAACCTAGAACGAAGGAGAAATTTCCTGGCAATGCGAACAATTAAGCAGTGGGACAGATTGCCTTCAGAAGTTGTGGGTGCTCCTCCATCAATGGAGAATTTCAGGAAGCGATTGGACAGTGGTGACACCCAGAACTATAAGCCTTGCTAGATTCTGAAACAGTTGCAACTTCCAGACTGTCTTCAAGGGCAACTCCACATAGAGCTCATTGCAGTAATCTAACCAGGAAGTGACGAATTATGAATGACTGTGAGCAAGCCCAGTTGATAAAATATTGACTAAGTTGGCATTATGTTGTTGAAGTTTGGTCTCATGGTTAAGGCACCAGGCTAAAAAAAAAAAAAAGGAGTCCATGAGTTCAAGTCCTGCCTTAAGCCATAAAAACTGGCAGGGGGACTTCGGACTAATCACTCTCTTTCAGCCCAACTCACCTCACAGTGTTGTTGTTGTGGGGAAAATGGGAGGAGGAAAGTGTGTAGCACACGTTAGCTGCCTTGAGTTATTTGCAAAAAATAATAAAGACGGGATATAAACTAACAAACACTGATGAAATAAATATCAGCCGGATGCTTTGAACCCAGCACCGACCAATTGTGATTTCCTATGTGTTTCGATGACAGACACAAAACAGGAAAAAAAGAGAAAGTGTTGGATGTAAAATTAAATCAGTAAGTTTCACCTATTTCTCCTAGGCATGTTCTTTGTTTTGATTTATGGTTTTTGAATGTATCCATGTATTCAGGTCAAACCCCCTTTACAATGAGATTGTACAACGGAAACATGCACACTACGTTTCTTTAATTCCCTCATTGTCAATCAAGGAAGTAGGTTACAATTAGTCAGTTATGTCAAGCAGCTCCTGCACGGTCAAAATGAGATAATCTTAAGTACACACATTGTGTGGCTTACTCTCTGACTGAAACCAGGCCAAGGTCAACAGATTTCCTATCTGAGCTAATTCAGAATTAGACAGGTTGAAATTACGTTAGAGCAGTTCCTACACAGGAAAGAACTGGAATTCTCTTTCAGCAATCATGGAGAAAGTATCATTATTGTTGTGTATATTTTAAAAGTATCATTAACACACACACACACCCCAGGAAATCAGAAACAATTTTTTTTTTGTTGAAATTCTTCTAATTTTCTATGTTTACTTCAATCTTCACACAGTTTCAACAGCAACATTAAAACAATTCCAAGTGGCAATTTTAATTCAACAACAATTGAGAAACTGATGCTCTTAAAAAATAATGATAATTTACTTATTTATTTTTTTAAAAAATACCTTATTTACTGACAAGCCCCAGCACTTTAAGACTAAGAACTACTTTAAGTGCAACCAAAGGCTGGGGTGTGTTCCATTCCATCATGCAATGTTTTTGTTGTTGTTTAAAAAAAAATATCTTTTTTTCTCTATTAGCATAAAGTTATCTCTGTGCCTGGAACTATTTGTGAAGTTCTTTGGGTCCTGACCTGTATTTATCACCAAGGAGCAGTCTTCTTTCACACAATATTAGTTAGGATTGTTTACGGACCCATCCCACACAGACAATTTTAATAGGACTCTACTAATTCGAGGCTTTTCTTATGGCATCCATTTCAGTGCCCAGAGTAATGAAGATACTCAAACATCATTATGGCTGCATTGTTTGAGGTTGAGATCATCTATTAATTATGCATGCAAAGTTGACAAGATTGTTATGCAGCATGAAAAAAGTAGGAAGAACTGTCACTCAAATATGGACAGCTGTATTAGTGTTGCCCTGTTGACAGGATTCGAGTGCCAGTCTTTTTAAGGCTTAGTTAAAATATAACTGGGAAGTAATTTCTCATCAAATCTCCTAAAGAAAATTGAAGTGGCAGGTTGAAATCTTTTGAGTCCATCATAACACAAGAGTCACAGCAAGAAAAAAAATTATCTTAATTCGCAACTTCCGCAAGTTTTGCTCCACTGCACCTCAACTTACGTTTTGCAACCTGATAAACATTAACAAGATTAAAATATATCCAGATCGAAATCCCAGCCTTCTAACAACAGAGTAAATTGGACAGTTTAAAAAAAAGGATTATAGAGCGCAATATAATTCAGACAAGAAAACATTAGCATGTAACTCAACAAGCTTGCTGATTTTCCAGAGTTTCTAGAAATAACCTCTTTCAAATATTAAAGAAGATTCTTGTGGCTTAATCAGATTATGTTTGAAACTGCATGGTGCCAAAAACATGCAACTCTCGTGAAAGCTGTACTTTAAGTTCATTAAAAGAGAATTCCCACTAGATAAGATGAGGCAAAATTATTTCTTAAAGAAGCTGCAGACTGCAATGACCTTCAAAAATTAATAAGTGCACTGCTGACACTCAAATTATAAATAAAGGACAGTTTGCTGTGGGCTGCTATGATGATGATGATGATGATTTAAGTGGAGGCTTAGACCACATTTCTTAGATATATGGGATCAGCCTGCATAGAATCACAGTGTCCCTATATAATATACAAAAATAATTTAGTTCACATCCTTTGACCGTAGAGAGGCTATAAAATATGACCTGGTTACAGATGTGCTTCTGTAATTATTTTAAGCAACTAATGCTTGCAGGAACTGTTGCCATGACACTGTAGCTGAACATTATTCCAGGGGTTGTGAGAACACTGCAAACCCTTTCAAAGCAGCTGTTTGGAACATGAAGCATTCTTATCTGAACAACTGAAGGAGCTAAGTTCTCCAGAAATTTTTGGCACTATTGCTAATGAGGGTTTTCTCTTCCCCACAATATTTCTATAGGGTTGCTGATGAAATATATTAATTGTTAGATAAAAAATGGAATTATATTGCTCCATACAAGATACAAGCAAAGCATACCATCCTGAACAAAGCATATCATCTCACATTCTTGAGCAAAGATACTAATGATGAAATAGTTATTAAAGGTATTAGAATACTATGTTCTAAGAGGTACGCTCTATTATCAAGTAAAATGCCACTCTAAATCCTTACAGCAAGTAAGAAGTCCACGAGTCATAAAAGAGCCAAGATTGCCTATCCCTGCCCTATACTATGGGGATGGTAGTACAAGGACAAAACTAGATCAGGTCTAATCAGGAATCAGACCAGGAAAAAAAGAGCTCATAATATAATGTTTATATCCACTTAAAAGTATTTTCATATAAGTCAAGCCACTTTTATAAACCTCAGCATAATCACTATCAACAACAAAAATAATACACTTACAGTTCGACAAGATTTGGAAGTTTCTGGGCAAGGTTTTCTGGCTAAAAAACACAAGTTGACAAAATTATAGTTTCATCTTTATAAACTCAACGTCACTTTGTTTCTTCTTTCATGCTAGAACCAGGAGGAAGTTTTGGGTACCAGAATCATAAAACTACACACCAAACTACTACATCTGTTTCCCCACCTGATTTGGCAATTATTATATTTAGCTTTGCCTAACCTCAGACTTCACCTGAGTAGGAGTGTGTCAAGTCAACAAGGAGTCTTAGTAGCAGAAAGCAAATAAAACTAGGAATTCTAGAACAGTGGTTCACATTAATAAAATAAAATATTATTTAATGTAGTACAAAATCCTAACCTATCCAAATTCAATAATTAATTATAAGATTAGTAATATCAACTATATTTTCAAGCTATCCTTACGCTATGAAACAACAGAATTAAATTATATTGATTACATCAATCATGGTATTTCAATCACTTGAACAAAAACATGGGCCTGGGATGAATTTGTTTTGGAATAAACTTTTTACAGTTTATGCCGCTACAACTTTATTAGCGTACATAAAATAATCTAACTTTGCCACAATAAACAATGAAACCACTTAATTTATATGCCATGTAAGTTGGAAGTCTGCTAAACTTGAAAGATTGCTAGTTAAATTAAATTAAAAATTAATTTTTAAACCAACAGCTATTCTTACAGTAGTCACATCACAATACTCTAAATATTCAGAAACTAACTGATTACCTAGCCCAGGTTCTCAACTTTTTCTTCACCACAGACCCCCTTTAAATACCTTCTGTGGCTATGGACCATGGCCAGGGACCCCCAAGACTTAAGATTGAAATCATAACATTTTTTCTAAGCCTTCATGGACCTCATGAGAACATCACGGTCCCCCCTGGCGTCTGCAGACCACAGGTTAAGAACCAATGACCTAGTCTATTTCTGGCAGTCAGCTACTCTCTTTTTATTACGGTGCTGAACTTGATGCTACAATAGATTTTGAAGAATTTATGAGATAAGGATTCCAGAATGAGTATGGTTTAAAGTCCCAACTTTTTATTCAATACTGTACTGTTTACTGGGGAAGTGCTTCTCTAAAAATGAGTTGCTGAAAGAAGGTTATAAAATATAAAAAGTGTGCGGTCTAGTTCTATGTAACTGTGCAAAGTTAAAAAAAAAAAAATCATAGCCAGCAACTACAGATGGTTAAATAACTTGGAAGGACAGGATATTACTGGCAAATTATTTCAATTTGTAATGGAAGCAACCCCCTTAGAATCGTCTCTTTCAGTTAAGCACATATGCAGAACCTCATAGCCTCGGCCTTTCTTTTCAGTTCAAGAAATCCAGGAACTTTGAGTTTGGTTTCCACCTACTGGAGAATTAATACTCAACACGCTGAAGCTGCGCAGCAGTTTCTAACTGAACTGTAATGAACGACCAGGTTTTCACTGATTTGATAAGGTAGGTAGTATAGCCACTGTTAAAAAAAGGCTAAAATTTCTCTCATTTTGTTTATTCTCAAATTAGAATGCCATCCTCAAAAGTCTTTTGTTGAAAATTGCCTATCTTCTTTCAAGCTAGAACCAGGATTAAGCTGGTTGCAGTGTGTTGGGATATTCTGAGTTCCTTTGATTAAATAATGTCATCTATCCGGACCCCGGAAGTATAACTTCTTCATAGAAGTGCCTAAAAGTTAGACATCATGCCTTACAGCAGTGGTTCTCAACCTGTGGGTCGGGACCCCATTTGGGGTCAAACGACCATTTCAGAGGGGTCGCCAAACAACGCAGTCCGCCATTTTTTCCCCCCTTTTCCTTAGCTGTGCTACTCCCTTTTATTCTATTGGCTTTTGAAAGCCAATAGGAATTGTCCAGGCTGTCTATGCCCTGCTGAGCCCGCCAAAAGTCCCATTCTGCAAACCGTGCTGCACCAGTTGAGTAGTCCTCGACTTACGACTGGTTGGGGGTCGCAGCATTAAAAATGTTGAGAACTACTGCCTTACAGTATTTGTTTCCTGACTTGGCCTACCTGAAAAGGCTAGCATAGATCCTTTTTTGCCAACATAAGGAATAACCGATACTCCAAAACACACATTCTATTCAACACAATAAAAAAAAATATTTTGCCGATTAAAGAATGAAACGACATACCAAGGTAGTTAAGGAATTTCTTTTCATATATAATCTCTCCAAGTACTGCAGACCTTCATCCTTCAGCAATTCTAAAGGAAAATGATGAAGATTTCGATAGTTCAAGAATAAATTCTTGTGCCTTTCTAGCTTTGCTTCTGATATCGTTTTACAGAGTTCAGATGCCATGGCAAATACTGGCTCAGCCACCTTATTAGATCTCTATTCATGGCAAAAAATGATCATTTCTGAAAGAAAAACAGAAGGAAAAAGATTATCAATAATTCCCTTAATTTCCAAAAGCAGTTTTTCAGAAGCATCAATATTTTTTAAATCTGTGCAACATTGACACAAAACAAAAGCAAAACACAGCACCCTCTTAACATTAGAAAACAGACAACAAAAGTGCTTACTAAACCAACAGTACAGCAAAGTTTTAGACAGAAAAATCAACATAGTAGCAACATTCAGGGCAACTGACTTGACAGATGCTAATACTGTACTAAAATCTATGCAAAACAAAAAAGCAGGAAAATATTTGTCAAATTATATGTCTTTAACTTATACTTTACCATCCAGCATTAGCATAACTGCTATGTGTATGAAAATAATGCCCACACCTTAGCGAGAGGTTTTAAAGACATGAAGGCTGTTTGAAAATCTGCTTTACTATGACATACAAATAAGCAGAGATGTACTTAGCTTTCCCCTGTACAAATAAGCTGGACAGACATCCCAAAACAATGGAAATGCTTATTTTATTTAAAGCAAAAATGAGATGAATCTAAGTCACACCAGCAGCAATTATTTAAACCAGTAAATCTTTTAAACCTTCGAATGCTACTCTCTCCTAGCATCTCACAACTGGCCAGGGATACATGCAGCATTAAGGACACCCATAACCGGTAGGACCTGCTTTATCATTACAAGCAGCAACTATTCATCAAGCCATTTTAAACTCCCTTTTTATGATCCTCTAATCCCTTAATTCATGGTAGAGTCGGGGCGACTGGATGGAACGGTTTACTTTCAACTATATATATAAAAAAAGACACAACTTCCAGACCAGATTATGTTGCCAGCTTTCCTTTCCATTCTAAGACTTATTAAAAACCAAAAGCAGAATTCAAAATGAGAATAGTTGCGTGAGCCCCAAATAGGCTGATCATTTTAAAAAAAACAAAAACACCTCCCCCAAAGCCAACTCCCCCCAAAAGCTTGCATGATATAACACCAGCTGTTTAGCAGCACTCATCCCCCCCAAAAAAAGAATCCTGTCTTTGGGACCTCCACCAGTTGCCCACCCACCTTTGCCCCAAATCAGTGACTGAGCCCATCCACTGTTAGACTATGCCTCGCTGCAACATGCTTTACCCCGTACTTTACAACTGAGAGTGTGTACATCAGGGGTCCTCAACCTTGGCAACTTTAAGACTTGTGGACTTCAACTCCCAGAATTCTAGGAACTGAAGTCCACAAGTCTTAAAGTTGCCAAGGTTGGAGACCTCTGGTGTAAATGATAACCCTGACATTTTGCTGCACTACAGGACGTTGTGCCCCTGCCACCATCCTGTTCGCTCCACCTAAGAGGGCAAGAAGAAAAGCTTAGTTTGGCACAGGACACCAGCAAGCCGGATCCCAGGATCAGCAGCCAGCACCCTCAACTAAGCCTCTCGATGTGTTCTTTCCTTTAAAGGGGATTCAGCTTGACTGAGGTCAGCCTCTCTCCATTCTGAGCCAGGGGGCAGCCAGGCAGACTTCAACTCCCAGAATTCCCCAGCCATCTAGTCAAGTCCACCCATTCCCTATGCTGCCTGGGGCATTCTGGGAGTTGAAGTCCGCCCAGCTGTCCCTGGCTCAGAATGGAGAGACATGGGCTTAAGCCAGGGTTCGTCAAACTTGGCCCTTCGATGACTTGTGGACTTCAACTCCCAGAATTCCTCAGCCAGCCAGCCTGGCTGAGGAATTCTGGGAGTTGAAGTCCACAAGTCATCCAAGGGCCACGTTTGAAGACCCCTGGCTTAGGCGTTCCAACAACGGCTGCCGATGGCCACGGGGACGCCACGGCCCCAAATACATCGGGGGGCTCCCCCCACCCCGTTATCCCCCTCCTGAGGAGGGGGGGCAGCCAGGAAGCTGCTCATCACCCCCCTCCAGCCCAGTTTGCACGACCACCGGGCCCACCGCTGGAGGGAGAGACCGAAGAAGGGCAGCCGCTCCCCCGAGGGAGACGCCGCCTCGGGGCCGGCGCGCTCACCGGCGATTCCCGGCCGGAGGAAAAGGAGGAGGAATCTCCTCCCTCTGCGGGAAAAGCCCGGATCGCCCAAAGAAAACAATCCCCTACCTACACATAGTAACCACCTGAACGTCAACTTCCGGTTTAGACGGAAGTGACGTTTTGGAAGGCGCGGGTTTGGCCGCAGGAAGCGCGCGGAGGTCTCGCGAGACTTTCGCTTTCGGCAGCAAGAACGCGCTGGTTTGTTCTCGCGGAGGGAGGGCGGCTTGGATGGGAGACCACGAGGGAATCTCCGCGGGAGGCTTCGCTGGGGGATAATCTCCTTCCAAGAAAACAGAACCGCTACCAAGAAAAAGAGGCCTGGGTGGTGAAGTCAGTAGAAGTTCCAGATGGGCTCCAGGTGCTTTTTCCCCTTTTTTATTCTTTTTCTCTTGGCTGAGTTCTGAATCCCAAGTTCAGACAAAAAAAAAAAAAAAAAAACCAAGCAAACCGGAAAATGGGAAATTCTGGATTTTCTGGATGCTCGAAGGAAATTATGCCGGCACTGGGCAGGTTAGCTTAACTCAGTGTTTCTCAACCTTGACCATTTTAAGGCATGTGGACTTCAACTCCCAGAATTCCACAGCCAGCAATGCTGGCTGTGGAATTCTGGGAGTTGAAGTCCACATGCCTTAAAATGGTCAAGGTTGAGAAACACTGGCTTAACTGGCTGCAAAGTATGCATCGTCTCGGACTACAGAACCTCTGCATTTGTTTTTGTATTAAGTTTTTGTTCTGTGCTGGGTTTATTTAAATCCGGTTCACGTTGTTGAAGAGGGAGGGGAAAAAAACGCTTTCCCTTCCTTTTTTTCCCCTGTTGCCGGTAGATTGATAAAGTAAATAAAAAGAGGCACTGAACAAAATGGCTGTTAATCAAGGACCACCGGTGCTTCCTCTTAATGTGGTACTAGGTAGTCCTCGATTTACAACAGTTTGTTTGGTTTTGCAATAGTGGCAAATACCTGTTCCTTTAGCGACCGTTCAAAAGTTACATGTGCACTGAAAAAAGTGACGACCGCTTTTCACACTTAATGACCGTTGCAGCCGTGATCACCTGATCAAAATTCAGGTACTTGGCAACTGACTCATATTTATGACGGTTGCAGTGTCCTGGGGTCACGTGATCCCCTTTTGCAACCTTCTGACAAGCGCAGTCAATGGGGAAGCCGGATTCGCTTAATGACCGTGTGTTGCTAACTGAACAACTGCAGTCGTTCACTTAACAACTGGCAGGAAAGGTCGTAAAATGGGGCAAGGCCCGCTTGACGACTGTCTCGCTTAGCAACAGAAATTTTGGGCTCAGTTGCGCTTGTAAGTTGAGGACTGCCTGCAGAACAATATCAGTACTTTGAGCAATAGTTGACCATAGCCAGAAGATGGCGCGCTTGTATATTTAATGGTATTCAGTATTTGGTGCTCTAATGGCAGAAAGTGAAGAGGAACTAAAGAGCCTCTTGATGGGGTGAAGAAGGAGAGTGCCCAAGCTGGCTTGAAACTCAACATTAAGAAAACCAAGATCATGGCATCTGGCCCTCTCAATTCCTGGCAAATAGATGGGGAGGAAATGGAGGTAGTGACAGATTTTATCTTCCTGGGCTCCAAGATCACCACAGATGGGGACTGCAGCCAAGAAATTAGAAGATGCTTGCTCCTGGGGAGGAAAGCTATTGCAAATCTAGACAGCATAGCCAAGGCCATGGTTTTCCCAGATGCAATGTATGGCTGTGAAAGTTGGACCCTAAGAAAGGCTGAGCGCCAAAGAATGGAGGCCTTTGAACTGGAGAAGAGACAGCTAGAAAAAAGAAAGAAAAAAGAACACGGTTTGCAGACCTAGAAGCAAGAAATTGAAACCGTTTTTTCTCTCTCTTTTTAAAATCATCTCCCAACATTGAGTTTATTTGCTTTTGGCTCAGAAAATCAAAAAAAGTCCTAAACTGATCATAGCTGTGTCCTGGTTACACTTTCTTAGAAGTCAAGGGATGATCTGTGTTTTATTTTTCGTTTTATTTTTGTGTCTGCACGTACGTATCTGCTTATTTTAATGTTGTGAGCTAGCTTGAGTCGTACGCTGGCCACATCAATCGAACAATGTTATATTTTAAAAATTGCTTGAGTTCAGCAAGCGCGTTATCTGCAGGATAGAGTATTTCAAAAGATTTATTTTAAAGGACATTTATTTTTAAGCCTCCGAATGCTTCCTTCCTTGTTTAGGCTGAATGTGCCCGGATCCCTCTGAAGGCCCAAGAAAACTCTCGACAACTTGGAAGTCAGTTCTTGAATCAAATTCTCTTCGGAAGCTTTCTCCTCGATTGGAGGGTGACGGTGTTGCCTGAGAATATTTCCACGCCATCCAGTCAACCGTTGGTTTTTCCAACAGCCGCTTTGGGCCCCTTTCCCTCCCGGTGGCCTTCCTGACCTGCCAGTTGCGAAGAATTTCAGCTCAGCTGCAGGAAAATGGCTCTGCTCAGACTTGTCTGATGGGGTCCTTGCGGGGAAAGCCATGCTAATTTGTCACACCTTTAGATCAGACAGCAGATACAGCCTTGGGGAGGGGTGCCAGATTTTCAATTTCTGCCATTTTAGCTTTCTGGGAAAAGAAGGCTGAAGAGATGGGTGGGCTTTTTTCTGTAGTGGGAATAAAAGTAATTAGAAAAGTTCTCCTCCTCACCCTCTTCCTCCTCCCTTGTGCTCCCTTTCCCATTTCTCCCCTCTCCCTCCTCCTTCCCTTTTCCTCTTCCTCCTCCCGTCTCCCTCTTCTTTCTACTCCCCCTCTCCTCCTCCCTTCTCCCCTTCCCCATTCTCCCCCTCTTCCTCCCCCTTTCCTCCTCCTCTTCCCTCTATCCCTCCTCCCCCTCTCCCCTGTCCTCTCCTATTGGGCTAGGATGGTGTTGAGCCTCTGAAAGATTTGGTAATGGTTTCATATGGTTTAGTTTTTGGACTTACATCTCTTTGTTATGTAAAGCATCCAGAGTTGTTTGGATCTTGGGTGTTTTTTAATCTATGTAAATAAATAAATGTGAGGATGCTAAGGTAATATGTACTTGGACAGATCCCAGACATCCACTCAAGGCACAAATGACGGGGCACAAATTATCTTACTTGAAGCACATTATTTGAGACCTCACTCTCTGGAGCAGTCTATAGTGCTGGGAAATGCAGAAGGAAAGAGAGAAAGACCATACCAAGCTGGATGGACCGAATTACAGCAGTGATGGTTGTACCTTGGAAGACCCAAGGGCCAAGCTGGAGAGCAATGATCAGCTCAGCTCTTTTGAAAAGTCCATAATATGGGAAAGGTGGAAAGAAAGAGAAGGAGAGGATGACCATCAACAAAACAGTGATAAGAACCTTTTTTTTCCCCATTGGGAAAAAAAGGGGGCCAGGCTGAGGACAGATCTTCCTGGATAAAATCTATTTATGTTGTCACTAAGAGTCAACACTGACTTGGTGGCACAAAAGCAATCAGTCACAATAGGGTTGTAACAAGACACTTTCTTATTCAGAAATGAACACCCATGTTTTTTATGGCTGGTCAAGAAAAGGAGAAATTTTTCCCAATCATTTTTGTCGTTTCTCCAAGATGTTATCTAGCTCAGAAAAACACACAAAGATTTGTGTTTCTTTGCAGTTTTTTCTCCTCTGGTCAGATGGGCATATTTCCAAAGAAAACATTGACTTTCCATTACTTTATTTTTATTTTCTCAAATGGGATCTTCAGAACATCAGAATAACAGAGCTGGAATCCATTTTTTCCCCCTCTTCTTCGAAGATGGGAATCATACCAGCTCTTTTCCAATATTCTGGTAATTTCCCAGAACACCAGGATCTTTGAAAGATATGGTTCAATTTTTCCAAGTTCTCATCTGCCAGCTCCTTCAGAACTCTGGGGTGTAATCAGTGTTGGGATTCAGCCGGTTCGCACCACTTCGGCAGAACCGGTAGCTAATTTTTTGTTGCCCAGGCCCAGAATGGACTTCCGGAAGCGGTATCCATACAGAGAACCGGTTGTTCACCTATTTGAATCCCACCACTGGATGTAATCCATCTGATCCTGGTGATCTGAACTCATCTAAGGGGGGGGGGGAAGACAGATGTTGTCTTACCATTGTCTTGCCTACTTTGAGTTGCATTCCTCATCTGTCTTTTACAGCAGTGGTTCTTAACCTTTTTGAACGAATCGCCCCCTTGAGCCAATGAGGAAGTTGTCATCCCCCCCCTCCCCCAACATAACCTCTCAATCACAACATAGGAAATAATTCTTCAATTTACACAAACACTTGTTTTGTTTTCTTTAAAATTGTCATCAGGACATATCGATGCAAATAATTTATTTCCAGTCTTTTTCCCATATCTCCCATATTCTGGCTAATGGCGCGCCACTGTATGGGTAGAGGCTGCTGCGCAACGCGCATGAAGATAAGCGATGTGTCTTCACAGATGTACGGTGTTCTGTACAGAAGGTAGCTGGAGGAACATTTGAAAACACAATTCAATCCACTAATAGCGAGCGATCTGATGTTTTTGTACGACAGATATACAGCGATTCACTGCACGAAAAAGTCTCAAAAGTGTCCCCCAAATGTCTCGCTCTATTGGCCCCATATCACCCCCTTTTTGTTCCTTCGCCCCCCTGAAAAATGAAATCGCTCCCTGGGGGGCAATATCGCCCAGGTTAAGAACCACTGTTTTACAGTACTGCTTTGTTTGCGATTTTCCCTTTGGTGTGAAGACAGATGCAAAGAATGAATTAAGCAACTCCACGTTCTCCCTGCTGCCCATCAATTCTTACTTGCCATCTTCTCTCGAGATATTATTGGAAATAATGTTATTATTCCAGAGCATTCTCTCTTTCTCTCTCTCCCTCTCTCCCTCTGAATTTATATATCAAGTGAGACAGAAAGCGAGGAAGATGACAAAAGAGGTGTCTATAAACATACCAAAATGAAAAACTTCATATACACTAGAGATAAAAAAAATAAAATACACATTAGGGAGCTGAAAAGATAACGGTGCTTAAAGAATCTAATCTAAGGAAACCCAAGGACACTAATCAGTTTTCCTTTCCAGAATACTAAAAAAATAAGGGAAAGAAAAAAAATGCTAGTATTTTATTGTAATCAAAGCAATGGCTCGTTAAAAGTAAATAATATTAAGTCAGTTGGATTGAGTCCATAAAGAGCAACTTTGCATTTTGTTATATAAATTTATCTTAATAGTTGTCTTATCAGCCAGTGGATCGATAAGATTAAAACTGTAGCTACCATTAGAAAATAAGCTTGGGAGGAATGTCTCTAGTATCTAATAGCTATTGTTCCTCTTAGTAGTATTTCTACAAGATGCCCGTCTATTGAGAATTAAAGCTGTTTTATCTGTTTTTTCCTATTAAAACGCCTTATTTCTATTTCTTTTTCCTCATTATCTGCACCTTTCACAGCAAGCAACCTGCATCCCTGTTCAGTGCTCTTGGCTGATGAGACAAACCAATTCATTTTCCTGTCTTCTTCTCTAAAAAGCTGTGGCCATAATGAAGTTGGCTTGACACAAAGGAGTTTTATGGCTGTTCCACATCTGTTACCCTTCTCCTTAATTATTCCACACTATGGAAAGATAATTAGGACAGCATTATTATTTTTAATGGCTCTAGGGTTGGATAGAACCAGCAATAGTTTTCCTCCATCCTCGGGATGGAAAAAGCCTTTTAATTGAAGATTCAGCCAGCAAAGGGAGAGAAGGGCTCCTGATCCATCAAGATATACAAAGACTTGCTTGTTTAAATCTTCTCGATGGATCAAACCTTCAGGATAATTTTTTTTAAAAATAGTCAGCATATGTCTATCTTTATGTAACAATGGAATGATGTAGTGTGATGAATGAGAGCACATCTTTCTCCTTTTGTCCTGACCACTTTTTACAGAGGCACAATTGAGAGTGTTTTAATAAACTGCATCACTGTTTAGCAGAGCCTCAGATGGAAGGTCTATCTATACAGAGAGTGGTGAGGACAGCTAAGAAGATTATAGGAATCTCACTTCCCCTTATTCAGGATACTGCTTATAAGTGCTATGTGGTTAGAGCTCGAAGCATTGTTAGAGACCCCACACAACCACTTCACAGTCTGTTTCTGTTGCTCCCCTCTGGGAGGAGGTTTTGAAGTATTTATAGATTCTGTAACAGCCTTGTTCCCTATGCCGTCCATCTTGTAAATTTGCAGGATTCTTTTTTCATCGCGCATATGTATACTTTCAAACTAGACTGTGATGTTTCTCTGTGTCATATATGTGTGAGTGGGGGGTATATGCATAATGGTATTTTTTTTGAGAGCTGAATGCAATGAAATTTCATTTTAAGGTATGCTGATTAGTATACATTTAAAGTGACAATGAAGTTTTTATCCTATCCTATCCTAAAACTTCAGAACTAATTTGGATGAAATTGGTATAGCTTCTGAACTCAGTTTATCCCTTCTGGACTGGAGATAGACTCTCATTTTCACAGAGAGTAGAGAGGAATCCAATACAGGTAGGCTGTGAAATGTTTCACTTAACAAACCTGGCAAAAAAGGTTGTAAAATCAGATGTGACTGACTTAGCAACTGCCTGGCTTAACAATGGAAATTCCGGTCCTAGTTGTGATTGTACGTCGAGGACATGCTGTATTTGAAATAATAGAAATGATGCTCTTTGATTAACGTTCACTTATCCCCTTTCTATGCATTGCCAACCCATAACTTTCTTCCTGGCCCATACTGGGCTGGCCAGAGTCGGGGAGACCCAGAGAAACCCCATTTGCTTTTGCATGGATAAAGAGTCAGCCTGGAATCACTTGTGTTGACAGGGCTGCCAGCTCAAAGAAAACACCCTTTTCAACATGGCTGGTAGCCAAAAAGACTAGTTATGCCAAAGGCTAAACACAGAGTGTCTGTCTACTTTCAAAATAATCCTGCCACCAAGCCTATGTTTACCATTCTTCAGTTTTTCAGGAACACAGTGTTCACATATCTTGTCAGAGGAGAGAAATTCAAGAGGAGCAACTGCACAACTAATCCTTCCTTCCTTACTTGGGAAAGTGACTTTCACCGTTGATCCACCAAGCTCATTAAATGAGACTTCCTCAAATGTGTGATCTCCTCTGTCTCCAGACTAAGGCTCTATGTATCTGTTTGGCAATGCTGGCTGAAGCTTGTTGTTGTTAGCTGCGAAGTCGTGTCCGACCCATCGCGACCCCATGGACAATGTTCCTCCAGGCCTTCCTGTCCTCTGCCATCTTCTGGAGTCCATTGAAGCTCACGCCTCCTGCTTCAGTGACTCCATCCAGTCACCTCATTCTCTGTCATCCCCTGGACTGCAAGGCGATCCAACTGGTCAGTCCTAGAGGAGATCAACCCTGACTGCTCTTTAGAAGGCCAGATCCTGAAGTGGAAACTCAAATACTTTGGCCACCTAATGAGAAGGAAGGACTCACTGGAGAGGAGCCTGATGCCGGGAAAGATTGAGGGCAATTATCATCATCATCATCATCATTATTATTATTATTATTATTATTATTATTATTATTATTATTATTATTATCTTAGCCATTGTCTCTTCCTGGAAGGATGAAGGCACCTTCCGCATTTTCCACCTTGAGTTTATTTTTGCCGATTGCTGATATCGTCGCTCCATCTTGTTTTAGGTCTCCTTTGTGGATGCTTTTTATCAATCTAAGTCAGTGGTTCTCAACCTGTGGGTCGGGACCCCATTTGGAGTTGAACGACCATTTCACGGGGGTCACCAAACAACGCAGTCCGCCATTTTTTCCCCCTTTTCCTTAGCTGTGCTCCTCCCTTTTATTCTATTGGCTTTTGAAAGCCAATAGAATAGACTCTCTTGAATAGAGTCTAATTCTATTGGCTTTCAAAAGCCAATAGGAATTGTCCAGGCTGTCTCTGCCCTGCTGAGCCCGCCAAAAGTCCCATTCTGCAAACGGTGCTGCACCAGTTGAGTAGTCTTCGACTTACGACCGGTTGAGTAGTCCTCGACTTACGGCCAGTTGGGG